GTATACCTCGCCTTACGTCGGTAATTGGTTCCAGGAGAACGACTTAAGTCGAAAAACGACGTAAGTCGAATTTACTTGTCTCCAAATCTACTTGTCACTAGGCTAAACCATAAATTGCCAATTCCGGTTCTGTATTTTATTTATTAATGCATTTTTAATAATGTATGGTTAATAAGGATCTATTTTAAGCTTACAAACAAATAAATTTCAGTTTTTAATATAGTACAGAAAAAAAGTAATCTGAAATATATACATTTATAAGTATGTACTGTAAATACAGTACGTACTTGTAAATGTATATATTTTAATATGATTTTATGTGCTTTAAACATTTTTCTAGTGATATTACGACTTCAATATTTGTGGCGGACAGACGTAAAGTCGAATAAAATGACTTAAATTTGATTTTTATTTTTCCATATACAGTACTTTTTTGACAAACGACGTATAATCGGGAACGACGTAACTCGAAACGACGTAAGTCGAGGTATATCTGTATTGAACAAAATACAATTCAGTTTTATATATGTCAAATCTAAATTTTGAGGATCCAAAATTCCAAAATACATTCTCTGCTTGTTTTAGTTCTGTCAAACATTACTATAAAATCTGTCAATATTGAGCTGTTTTTTGAGTGATGAAAAAGTTTTATTTTTTATAGAAAATATTAAATTATGAGAGAGATGAGTTATTGAAATGAAAACATTTCTCTCTTAATTATTGTAAGTTTGAGTTTTGCAAGCAATCCTGACCCGTGGGGTCCACATTGTCTGTAGAAATATTCTCTGGAATATAAAGTAAATTTGTTGAATACGAGGTCGTACAGTAAACAGAACTAAAAATCAAAGCACCACCAACATCTTCCTTAGATGTGAGAGCCAAGAAAGATCACACATTCAAATGCTTAGTGTTATATTGGCTCTTCATGTGTTGCTATAATTTGATTCTTAATAATACTGATTTCCTCAATGATACAGATTTTTCAAGTACATATGATCTCCATTACGCTGTATTCTGCAGTGACAATGATGATCTTTGACACAGACATATACAGAAATACTTCTCAGAATGTCAATACATTCATTTAGCTACTGGCAAGAATAGCTCAGATTGAAGCAGAACTCCAATAGAAGCACATGCAACAATACATTGTGGCATATGTATCTATAAATCTGGAGTAAATTGATCAATGCCAGTTTGTAAGTATTCTTGTAGTGTCGTCCCAGTTTACTATATCTACAGCCTTACATTATTGTGATTCCTGTGTTGTGCAGACTGTTGACAAAATATGATGTGATTATAATCCAAAAGCTTGATTAGATTATGATATACATTTAATTGTTTCTTAAAGTTAATAAATGAGTTTATTTAATGTAGATGTGTCTAATCGATTTTAGATTAAAGCAATAACAAGTTACGTAAGAGCAAACATACAGTAGCTTTGTTTGTTTCTTGTCAACAATGTTTACCAATTGCAATAATGTATTTTCATGAAGTAAATAAATAAAAGATTGAATGGAAATAGATGACAAACTAGTTTGAAAATAAACATTAAAGCGACACC